TAATATCCGAACACTCTTTCGGTAAATGCTCTTTATATCTGTTATTTTAAAGATTTTGGTGTAAACATCGAATAGAAGCGCATCTTATCAGTTTATCAATGAAGACACTGAAAAAGAAGAAAATAATGACAGACTTTATTCGACGAAATTCAATAAATAGTTATCCGCTAACAGTAATATGTACAGAATATTTTGACTTAAGAAAAGTTATTTCTATATAAAGAAATTAGTTCCATTCCGTTTTCAACTTCATAAGCTGTTTATTGTTTTATTGTTATTTGTTGTTTTATTGTTCTATTGTTCGATTAATTGTTCTAATTTATAGCAATTTTTTACATCTCCGGAACTTGGGGTTTATCGAACATTTAATTTTTCTTAACAATCACTTAGTACTTCTTATAGTGTTTTGAAGTACTAAATATGTCTAATGCTGCTCATTATCATTTATAAGTTTTTGTAAATGCGTTCTCACTGGTATACGAGAAATAATCAAACATTTACAAACCTAGGCAAGTTGTTTGCAGCACTGGCCATACTGTACATGGAAGAACGTTTCAAAATATCATATCCAACATTTTGACTTAAGATATGCATACTAATGAACTTAATTTCACTCTTTGGGAAAGCAAAAAATACCGCCATCTGGCTAATGCACTTGTTTTAAGTTTAAATATTGTAAGTCATTCACCTGACAGATACGTACAGTGCTGCGAGTGCTGCATGCAACATGCCTGGGTTTGTAAAAGTCTAATCATTACTCGCATACTGGCGTAAACGATTTAAGAAAACTTAGAAATAATAATGAACAAAATTAGACAAATTTAAAACTTAAAAGAAATATAAGACGAACTAAGATTGTTAAGAAAGTAAAATTTTCTCGATAATCCCCAAGATCTGGGACGGAAAATAGGTTTAAATAAGAACAATACATGTAAATATTTTTTAAGTTGAAAACTTAAAGCAACTACTTTTTCAGTATAAAAATATCTTTCCTTTAGTCGAAATGTTTTGTACATATTACCCTTAGTAGATAACTTATTGTTGGATATCGTGGAAAAAAGTCTGCCGTCATTTCGCCCGTTTTCAGTTTCTTCATTGATACGTAGATAAATTGTGCTTCTGTTTGACGTTTACATCAAAACCTTTAAGATAAGATAAATATAAAGAGTATTTACCAAAAATGAGTTTTTGGATATTAGTTCTTATGAAGGTGGTCGTGTGGATCATAAAAAGAAATGCCTCACCACTGCAAACCGCATTGTTGAGTATGCGGAAAGTCCGCAAGATAACTCGGATATTGTTATTCCTAAGGTTAATAAACAAACGTTCCTTTATAGGTTAACTCTTGAAAAAGTGCTTTGCTTAGCTACTCAGCTGAAAAATTGCTGTGTATTTTAATTTTTTCCAAGATTGTGTCACAGTGAAATTGGAGATGTTTGACAATTTTTTAATATACCTGAAGGTTAAGGATTTAATCGAACTGGAAACGGAATAACTTACTATTCCCTTTATAATGGATTATTTTCCGCATAAGTAACCTAATTCCAAGAACTGTTACAAGCTTGCAAATGCAAAAAGGGCCGGCCATATATGTGGCCCTTTTCTGAAATACTTATTATTCTTCTGTAAGTTGCGTATCTAAATGACGCATAAGCGGAACGTGGAGTTTACAAAAAAAGTATATTTTTACATGACTAACATTCAATAAGGACTCCTTTACATTATCTTCGCAGTAACATATGCGGGCACTTTGCTTATACGCCAAGGTGAGCCATGCGGTAAAACAAAACTTGACGAAAACATTTTCGTTACTACATTTTGCGCAAAAAACGTCACAAGTTAGCTAATCATTTTTTAAAATGAAAGTGTTGCTTGTTTTTGAAAATAAATTCGATTCCTTAAACTTGGCTCAACTTCCATTTGAGCAACTTCGGATTAAAGTTTTCAGTTCTCGAAGGTATCATTTTTCCAATTTTTCCTATCTATTCTGCAATTCATCCATAGCGAAATGCATAGTAATACGAAGTTTTGTTCTGTTGTACCTTATAGCATAGGAGATTTCTTTAATATAAACTTACTCATGATAAAGCCAAAATTAGTGCCCATTCCGCTCCATAACTTTAAATAACAGGGCAGTTTTACAAACTAAAGGCTTCCTAATCATTAAATCCACGGAGTTAATAAAAAAATAACCTGTCCAAATACATGCTAATCTACCAAGCTAAATTTTGTCATAAAAATTGCACACAGGACTTGCAATGCTGTACTATGAGAACCTCGAAATTTGTTAACATGCAGCAAACTAGGTGAGACATATACGATAATAATACAGCACCTAAGATATTATGCCATCCTATTTCGTTCACAAAACTGCCGTAAGCAAACATCTGCCATAAAAAGTTAAATTACTTTCGTGGGCTATGTAAAATTTGCCCAAATATGCTCTTGAATACGACTTATAAATAGATATAAAATTGAAATGTTGAGCTTGTTTATGCATACATTTATGGCAATTCCGATTAGAATTTTTTTACTTTTCAGACTTGTCGTGTTTGTCAGCAAAATATGCTCATCAACTGGCCTTAATCATGGAGTTCTGGTTGTTGGCTATGACATGGAGAGTAATGGTATGCCCTACTGGCTGGTGAAGAACAGCTGGGGACGCAATTGAGGCGATAATGGCTACGTAAAAATGGCCCGCAACAAAGGGAACCTGTGCGGGATCGCCACGGTCGCGAGCTATCCCATTGTTTAATTGCCTGTTTAGAGGGTTGACGTCTCAAGGTCCTCAAAGAACTTCTCCTATTTCATAATGAAAACACTTTCGCCGATTTTCTATTTCATTACTAAAATATAATCTTCGGTCTTCCCGCAAGGTAACCTAACTGTTTTCAACGCTAGCTAGTTGCAAATGAGGGTGAGCTAAGCACTACGCAGGCACTTTGCTTTCCAAAGTGTCGACGGAATTTATGCCAGGTATTTTTAGAGCTAGGTTTTGTCAATTAACCTATTTTGATAATAATGAGGAATGCTATTTGGTTGCTGATGGCTAAAAATAAGGACGAATATAATTATCTGTATTCTGTATAATGGTGGACTTACATATTATTTAGAAACGAGATTTCGCCGGTCAGACACCCTTTATTTGGCTGTGAGCAGAACATACAAGTAAAAGGTTAATCTGACATGCAACGTAAACTTACGCAAAAATGTAGATGCAAGTAATAGATCAGCATCACAAAGTTAACCTTCTTCGTGTTTGGAAGACTATATCAACCCCGTCTGCGTTTCAGAACAAAAAGGACAGTCATAAGCCAGCGCTTTTAGCAATCTAATAATCGACGCCTTTCTTTATATTCCATGTAATTTCTGTGAAGGGAAACAAATACTACCAGCATGGTATAATAATTATAAAGTTCAAAAATTATCTTTATAGGAAGGATCATATTTTAAGAAAAATCTCAGTCCTCTCTAGAACAAAAAGACGCAAACCTTCCTGAATCGTCGATAGAACTGCTCATATGAAACTAGGTCTGGATATATTGGCCATGTGTTAGCCGTTTAGGCATTTTTTATAAAGCAGATCACTGGCAAAGTACCTAACAAGGCAGCGGACAGCTAATTATAACAAATCGTGTATCCGCACTAATGAAAGGTACGCCGCGCAGAAAGAGTGTAAATTGGAACCTCCAGATATCTGGACACCGTTTTGATTCTACGGCCTTTGGAAGCTAACCCCATTTCCAAGTTATTGGGGAAAATTAGTATTATACTGCGAGGATGGTTATCCACGCTACCTAAAAGGGTGGGTTTCTGCTGCAGTTGTGGGTGTGCTCATACCGCAAAGTGTCGGTTAACGGAAAAAGGTGGGGGACAAAAATATCAGCGGTTTACTATGAGCAGACCCTGTACTGCTATCTGAACCAGCAGCAGTAGTCGATAGCGAGACCTGAAAAAGGGTAATGAGCGTATAGAGTCATATCTTAGACGGAGCAATTTCACATCTTTTTGTCCAGTCGCTGTGTGCTGAGGTGTGGTGCGTCTAGTTGCATTGGGTAACGGGTGGCGTGTTCCAGTAGGGCATAGGCAGCTGCCACTGTCTGAAGGCACCGGTGAAAAAATAGGAAGCTGGTTGATCTTGAGGCAACAGGGCGTTGAACAGAGACGGCAGCCGCCGCAAGCATGCCTGTCGACTTTAAATACCAAATAAAAGCCAAGACACACACCTGGTCGATTCTGCGTCATTGTACGGAAAGGGTGCACGAGCGTCAGGTCGTTAACAGATCCTCCAGATTATGTTAGGTTCGTTCGCATATATGAGTACGCTAGTTTTTCTTTGTAAACAGCCCCTGCTCAGATGAACTATTCATGGCTTTATCAGACGATGAGATATGTCTCCTCAGTTTTTATCTGGTACTTGTGTTAGACGTCTGCGAAAGCAATGTCAATATACTTTAGTAGGACACGTGTCTGCCAACCAGAGCAAACCTTAAAGACGATAAAATAATCACAAGCAGCTTGCAAAATCAATGAAACTACGGAAAGTGTGAAAGCGTTTTCGCACATCATCCATCGTCAGCGGCCTAGGAAAATTGAAAATAACGTAAAGATCTAATACTTATGCCGTTGTTTTTATTGCTTAAAAGATGCTACTTATGTGATTGAGGTAGGTAGCGCTTTTAGTCTCGGGCTTGCTGGTCAACTTACAAGTCATCGGATTTGCTACGTTATGTAATGTTAATCAAAATTATAAAGTTTGCTTTCCATTTGAAAACACTTAGTTAAGTCGATGCGTAAGCTCGAATATCGTACGAGATAATAAGTAAGGCGCATTTGGCAGATTTAAGTACTTGATTTGTTTCAATCATGGAGACCGCTGTGTTTTTCACAACTGGATCAACTGTGTGTTCAATATAA